CCTTCCTTCCTTCCTTCCTTCCTTCCTTCCTTCCTTCCTTCCTTCCTTCCTTCCTGTTGAAGTCTTACTCTGTTGCCTAGGCCGGAGTGCAGTGGTACACTCACAGCCACCCCAGCTTCAACCTGCTGGGTTCCGGCGATCCTTCTACCTCAGCCTTCCAAATAGCTGGAACTACAGGCATGTGCTACCCCTACCGGCTAATTTTGTATTTATTGTAGAGAAGCGGTCTCGCCAAGTTGCCCAGGCTGGTCTGGAACCTGTGGGCTCAGGCAATCCACTCACCTAGGCCTCCCAAAGTGCTGGGATTACAAGCTGAGCCACAGAGCCTGACTGCGTGTCTTTCATATACAAAACAATCAATTGATCATCACACCCCAGTCACCTCCTTTACCTCACACACTCCAAACCAATATTCCTCCTGCCCTAAATCATCCCAGAGCCAGGCCCTGGGCAACCAGGAAAGCCTGGAGCCCGCTGAAATGATTCGAACTGGCCAGCCCTAAACTCTTTCCCCTGCCTTGCTGGGCCTTTTTGGGGGGAAATCACAACAAAAGCTGCCGTGGGCCTCCTCTACCTCCTGGCGACCCTGGTACTTCCCCCATGGCTCTGTATGGCAGAATATGCCCTCCTCTCTGGGGACGGTAAATAACAAACTTTAGTTATCTGCCTATTTGTTAATGAGCTGGAGTCTCACTCTGTCGCCCAGGCTGGAGTACAGTGACACAATCACAGCTCACTGCTGCCTTGACCTCTGGGGCTCAGGCAATTCTTCCACCTCAGCTTCCCAAGTGGCTGGTCCTACAGACATGCACATTCCCACGCCCAGCTATTTTTGTTTGCTTTGTAGAGACAAGTTCTCTTTATGTTGCCTAGGCTGGTCTCAAACTCCTAGACTCAAACAATCCTCCTGCCTCAGCCTCCCAAAGTGCTGGGATTACAGGGGTGAGTCACTGCGCCTAGCCTGTTTTTTATTTTTTTGAGACAGGGTCTCCCTCTGTCACCCAGGTTGGGCCACATAGTTACTAAGTGGCTGAACTGGGATTCTGGTTGGCAATTCTCTAACAGCAA